CTCTCTCTCTCTCTCTCTCTCTCTTTCTCTCTAGTCTCTCTGTCTTTCTCACTCACCCTGTCTTCAACCACCACCTCTCCACCCCCCTTTCCACCTTTAATGTCTTAGATTGGAAAAGCGCCAACAACACTTTTTTCACCCCCCCCTTCCCTTTCTACGTAGGCCAAAGTCGACTGGGACGGATCCAAGTTTGTTGAAAATTATACGACTGCGGAGGGTGCCGAGTTTGCTACGACCCGAGAGATCACAGGAGACACTATGAAAGTGGTGAGTAGTGTAGGACCGATAGTTAGTTAGCTACATTGTAGTATAATTTAGACAAAGACTATAGGGGTAAAACGAAGGTAGTCACAAACTGGAAATTGTGAGGGTGCCAATTTTAAGGAAGGCTATCTCGCTTATTAGCGTGACCAAATTTTACCATATTTCACATATTTATCTCTCTCTCTCTCTCTCTCACACACACACACACACACTCTGTCTCTCTCTATATATATATCTATGTGTGTGTGTGTGTGTGTGTTCGTGTGTGTGTGTGTGTGTGTGTTTGTGTGTGTGTGTGTGTGTGTGCGTGTGTGTGTGTATGTTTTGAGTTACACTAACGTTATGCAAGACACAAAAAACCTGTTTCAAAGAAGGAATACCTAATCCAGTTGCAAGGAAAAAGAGATCATAAAAACTATCAAATGCATACACTTGAACTTCAATGTTAATGACAATTTCTTAGGATGTTGAGTGGATAAAAGTCAAATTGACCTTCCCCCCTTCTTTCCACCCTTTCGGAATATACTTAACTTAACACTCACATGTGGGTTGGTGATGTTGATAAATATTGTTCATTTGGGAGCCTTACTACGTTGAACGTCTTTTGTCTTTTTTAACTACCAGAATGTTCTCGGTACATTACTCAAATTTTCACATTCTTGATACTCTACGAAAACAATGATGATGATGATGATGATGATGATGATGATGATGATGATGATGATGATGATTTTTTTTGGTTTCCTTAATGGGCCTGGCGGACTCCACAAAGAAATCTTCGAGCCAGAGCGAGGCTCTATTTCGGCTCCATTGTCAATATGCTTAGCGGCACCCCCACTCGTCCAAACAACTCTATTCGAATTGCCATTATTCCTGGACATTCAAACATAATAATGTTTGACATCCTCCTTTTCATGGCTGCATTTTCGGCAACATGGGCTGAGCTCTTCATTTACAAAGTTCTTTTACCATCATAAGCTCCAATGAAGGTCCGACTGCAGTCTTGCCAGCTCAACCTGGTCACAGCGATATGTGATATTTTGTTCACGCTTATAGGAGTACCCAGAATACACATCTTCCTGGTGCTGGTATTTTACTGTGTATGGTGGGTCTTTGATTTCCCTCTTGATCATTGGAAAGACTCCTTTGTATATTGTTGGCCGTCTGTCACCAATCTCACTGGCTTCATTAGCAGCTGCATGGTCTGCTGCCTCATTTCCTTCTATTCCAACATGGCTTGGAATCCACAGGATTTTTATTGTGGCTGTGGCTTCATTGAACTTGTGGCGCAAATCATTTATGTCCGAGCTGTTGCCTAGCAGCCCATTGCAGAGGGACTGACTGTCAGTCAAGATCAGCACATTGGTTTTACTGTGGCAATTGTCAGCAATCCTTTGTGCAGTAGACATCATTGCCTGGCATTTCTCGTCATAAGATGATGTAAGGAATGCACCTTTAGTTTTAATAATTTCTGTTCGGGGTGGTTCATCATTCATTATCACCACTGCTGTTGCTCCACCTTCGCGGTATCCTGCGACAGCCGATCCATCGGTGAAAATTGCCCCATCCGCCCCAACCTCTTTGATCACATCCTCTGCAGCTTCACGTGCCTTTACAGGATCATCGCCTTTGCCTTTTATTCCTCTCAGTTCTGTTCGAAGCTCTGATGATGATAATGGTGGTGATGATGATGATGATGCTGATGATGATGATGATGATGGCGATGATGGTGATGATGATGGAGGATTGTCAATCATGATGACCATGATGACAATGATTTTGGGTGCTCTGGTGTGATTTTCTCCTTCTTTCCTATCAAACATCTATCGTCCTTATCTCCCCTTCTTCTTTTTTATGCTTGTTACTCTCTTGTAACTCCTCTTATCTTCTGGCGCTCATATGACCTTATGCAGTTGCGAGCGCCGTAAAACCTCTACTAAAACTAAACTAAACTCTTGAAGTCCTGTACCCACCATTATACTGGGCCGTCCTGTTTAGCTCTTATGTTGGCCCGTAGGCCTACGGCTTTTTCTGTAGTGCCAATGGGGTTGGCAACGTTTCATGTCTCAGGGCTCTGTGTGTGTTGCAGTGCTGGAGGATGTGTTCCAGTCTGAAATTCTTCTCCACACTGGCATTTTGGTGACTGTACTATTTAGAATAACATTGAGGGTGCGGTGGTGGAGCGGTGAGTACGCTGGTCTCCAAAGCGGAAAGTCCGGGTTCGAGCCTCGGTTTGGACATGGATTTTTTTCGCCCCCCTCCTGTCCACCCAGTAGTAATGGGTACCTGACTTCGAGTTGGGGAAGTAAAGGCAGCATGGAAAGGAACTGGCCACCCTACCACAATATATCGAAGGCCCAGGAATTTGTCTCACTAGCAAGGCAATCCCCAATGTCCGGATCGGATAAGGGAACAACTTTACTTTACTATTTAGAATATCTGTACATGTGTTGTCTGAGTCTTGTGTGCTATCTTCTTAGTCTGAAGATAATCAGTTTATATTGGCCAGACAAATTCATTATGTAGATTTAGCTTTTAGGTACCTGTAGTGTTTTAAATAATGTTTTTTATACGGGAATTTTAACATTGTGAATGGTTCACTCCACAGACCTCAACTACGAAAGGTGTGACCATGTCACAGATCTGGAGAAAGTCATAACGTAGAAATCTACACAGAGGACCCTACAGCTGTAGAACCTTATTATTAACGAAGATACTTTTTCTTCCTTCCAAATAACCATGTTTGGGAGGTAGTTTAACTTCAGTAACATCAATAATAAAATTACGTTACCTATTTTTAATACACGTCTTTCACTTTTGTTGATTTGATATTCCGATTCATAATTTAGATGTTGCATACCTTATATCCTCTAGATTTATTAGACTTTTTTCCCATTTTGGCTATATTTTAAACTCTTACTGAAGGGAATATTATAGTTGAATGTCAGGAGTAAAAGTATTTAACTCTTTTGCTTGTAGTTTCATCATAACATTATTACAATCCTTCTTTTAAAGAAAGAAACTCCAGTACCTGTAAACAAAGCATCAAAACAATATGCAATACTCATTTTAACAGAACATCCCACTAAAAGTGCAATATTTGCATGACTCTTGAGATTCCTCCTTCCCCCCTGCCCACTCCCCCGAAAAAGATCAAACACGAATTCATTTTTGAAAAAGATTAACCATCTTTTTTTGTTTGTTAACTTGTTTTCATGCTCACGAAAATAAGAAATATTATTCAAAAATAGATCTACATATTAATTCTTGTAGAACTTTCAGAAACAAAATTGTACGCAAAAAAAGTGTTTCAACTGTCTTGTTACCCTAATCAAGTTAATTGTACTCTTGAATCTTCTGGTGTAATATATGCGTGTACCTGTAAGTTACATACTTTGGCCTTACTTATTAAAACGGTCCAATTTACTATCTGTTAACAATTGCCGAGCTCTCACTATCATTTGGGTTTAGACTATTTTTTAACAATGCTGGGCAAAAGTACTCTCTCTCTC